TAGCCCATCAAGTGATTCTAGTTTATTTCTTATTTGAAAAGTCATACTGGTTTCAGACAGAAAAATGGATGGATCAGAGACAGGGACACCAAATAAGAGGACATTTCAAAAGTAAAGCATATGATTTTTGTCTTAGGATAGGGAAATAACAGTGGAAATGAGGGATGAAAATTGTGTAGAAACCTTTTCAATGAGATGACTACAGTCAATGCTAAAGATGTGGATTGATGAAGACTGTTTTATTCACGCAATTAATTGTTGAGCCTCTATTCCAGAGAATATATTTGGTAATAGGGATACAAGGAACAGAACCAGACAAATATGTTTGCTTCATAGACCTTAAAAGGCAATGAATGAGAGCCAGTTAGTACTGTCAAATTATGTATCAGGAAGACTTCAGGTAGCCAGGTTACTTGGGAAAGTGTGAGGGGTGTGACAATGGGAGTGTGTATTGTAAATTTTCAGATTCTCCAATTCTGGCAGGCCAGAGAAAGATTTGAGGCATGATAGGAAAGGATGGTTATGCTTTTATTCACAGGCTCTCCTGTTCATAGACTTATAGTTAGTAGTAACAGCAGCATCGAGACCATATTGTTGACTGTCCCATCCCAGAATAAACTCACAGACTGCACAGAAATATTGGCTTCATTTTGTTCGCAGGTTTGCATTCTCTTTTCCAGCAGCAGCTGCACAACGCATAACTCCATAATTCCTCAACTGCCCCGTCCAGCAATGGTGCCTCTTTATACTACAATAGACAAAAGGTTATCTGGCCAGGGATGGCTATACCAGACTGCACATGTGCTCATGTAGGGTTACCTAAGTGTGCATGGCTGAAGATGATATGAATGTGTTGAACTAGCTGAATTCCAGTCCTTGGGTAGGCTGCCTTTTGCAAGGGCCTAAAGCCTTCTGGTGGTTATATTTGTCCTTCAGAGTGTATGCCTGGTGGTGGTGTGGTTGAGACCTGGTGACCTGGGAGAGTGAGTTGGACAGGACAAAATGGAGAAAGTAAGAAGAGACTGGAAACTGTGGCATACAACCTCGTATGCCATGGTGGAGAACCTACTCATTGTCCCAACAAATATTGGAGGCTTTTAAAAGAGACGCCTAGTTTGCTAAGGTTTATTCTCTGAAGTTCTGTACACCTCTGTGATTTAATTTGAAATAAGAAAATGGTGGAGCTGCAAAAGTGATCTCCAAAAAACAAAAGATGAAATTGCTGGTGTTTGATTAAAATAATTAGAGAAACTCCAAGAGTCAGCATGCTCCCCTCAGGTGCAACTGAACATTTCAGATTATCATAGTCATTATAGCCCTGGTGTTACAACTCTTACAGTCTTACCCTTTCCATTCTTAGCTTGCCTTTGGCCACTGTCCCACAGGCTCTTCTCTGGACACTTGGGTTTTATGAGCTTATGCAGGATGAAAACATGTTTCAGTGCATGCCTGGGTACATGAATTAAACTGATAGGATGATTATGAATACTGAGTGAAGAAACTCATTCACAAGGCAGTAAGGGTATTAGATAAATTCTCTGAATTAACTGAGCTCTGTATGGGTATTTCTGCCTAACTCAACTCTTTGAAATGGAGAGATTAGAAATATGAAATCATTACAAGACTTGCTCTTAACTGAGGGAAGACTTGCTCCCAGCTAGGTAATTAGCAATGTCTGGAGACACGCTGGGTATTCACAACTGGGATTTTGGGGTACTACTGGTACCAGATGGGCAGAGTCCAAGGTTGTTATTAAAGACTATGTCAGTACAGGAGATAGAGTAAAACTCCCTACAGAAAGCATGATCACAATGCCAATACTTTTGGAGTTAGGAAACCCTCATGTTCATATCTTTTAATATACTACAAATGACCTTTTGCTTAAAAAAAAACAACTAACCCATAGACATGGAGATGTTTCTGAAATCAAATAAATGAGAGAAATGATCTTGGAGGAGCTAAGAATTCTCCACATCTCAAGGTGTATATTTTCATTTTACAGAAGAAATTCTATATCCACTAATATAATGTGATATTATAAATTACATATGCCCCCCACAATCTCTTTCTTATTTCTCAATGGGGAGCTCAAAGATCCTCCATAGATAACTTGGAAAGAGTCAAGTGTTCACAAGACTGTGTTCTTCCACAATTACCTATATTATAGCACTATGTATTCTGGAATATTTTGAAGTTTTGGAGCAGTCTTGGATCAGGAGCAAAGTGAGAAATAACATGAAGTAAAGGAGCTGGGTGCTGGTGGCTCAGGCCTGTAATCCTAGCTACTCAGGAGGCTGAGATCTGAGGATCGCGGTTCAAAGCCAGCCCAGGCAGGAAAAGCTGTGAAACTCTTATCTCCAATAAACTACTCAGAAAACCAGAAGCGGCGCTGTGGCTCAAGTGGTGGTGTGCTAGACTTGAGCTGAAGAGCTGAAGGATAGTGCCCATGCCCAGAGTTCAAGCCCCATGACTTACAGGAAAAAAAGAAAAGAAAAAAAAGTAAAGACTAGATGAAGCAAACACGTGAACATTATTACTAATAAAGTCTGAGTCAGAGGATGTAGCTTAGTATGAGAATAAAGTATATGTCCCAACTGGGTCATTTAATGGGACAGAATTACCCATCTTATCACTAGCTGGGGAGAAGAGCATCCAGAAAAGCAGCAGACAATGAGCAGACAATGCAGTCCTTCCATGGGATTCCCTCCCACAGTGAAGAGATAAGAAGCCAAGATGAGCAGATATAGCTAATTACTTTCTCATACATCAATTATTTCATCATGCCATCTCCTCTGGTGCAAGTGAAGAAAGGGAAAGAGAGACATCTGAGTGTTGCATTCACACAAGAAAAAAACATCAACAAGGGGAAATATGATTTTTTACCCTTGGCCCAACTACTAAACTGTAACTCCTTGCTGATCATGTCTAACTACTGATTGTATTGTCTGAATTCTGGAACTCTAAACCACCTGTGACTATGTAACTTACATTAGTTAAAATTAAATATATTAAGAAATATCTTAATTGCTCAGTAGCCCCAAGTAGCAAGCAACTACTACATGGGACAATGGAGCTATAAAATATTTACACCATCAAAGGAAGAAGATCAATAAATGTGCTATAAGGAGATTTTATATAATTCATTTTTGTATGATCTGTGTCTATAGGAAAGCTCTTACTTAGAGAACTTCAGAGTTTTTGGATGTGTGAAATGAATATATGAAAATTGACTGTGACCATTTCATTTATCGAATCTACTTGTTGTAAAGATGCTTCCATTTTAATTCATCAATATGTAAACATTGAACATGGATATGCTTGTTAGATGGAACAGACCAGTGGAATAATATAGAATCTATGATTCTACTTTTATTGAGAAATGAGTATTTGTATAGAAATACATAATTTGTAGGTATTTATAAATGTGTACTTAAAATGTAAATAGTATTGAATAGCACATATCAGATTGTGTATAACATCTTGGCATTGAGATTAGAAGGTTGAAGACTTTGTTAGTTCAAAAGCTATGTACATATGACCATTTAAGATGATGTTAAGCGAAATGAACCCAAGATAGGGACACAAGAGGTTTTTTCTTTCTTGCTGTTGTTTTTAAAATATTTACAATGTACTATGTGATTTTTTTGTTTCTTTTGTATGTTCTTCCCCCATGGTATAACCACTGTCTAAACTGTATTTGATGTTGGTCCCCTGCATCTTGTATATACATTTTTATAATTCGGGGAGGAGAAGATAAATAACAAAATGCTGAAATAAGGATACAGGTTGACCCATTGTAACAATGAAATGTACAAGACACTATGTTGAAAACAAACTTTACAACTTGGGCGGGGGAGAGGAGTTGGGGATGTGGGGAGGAAAGGGATGGTAGGGGGAAAAAAAAGGAGGGGGTAACAATGCTCAATAGGAAATGGACTCATAACCTTACTCATATAACTGTAACCCCTCTGTACAGTATTTTTACAATAAAAAATATATAAAGAAAACTTGTTGCTAGGAAAATGAACTACTTTTGAGTGAAAAAAAAACAAGTGATACATTAGGTAATATGTTAGCATTCTAGAAACAAAAATAATAGCATTTTCTATATCAAGGATGAATAAACTGTAATTTTAAGAGCCATAATATAAAGTGTTAAGGCAGTAGCCATCAACCTAATGGATATTACATGTATTCCATGAACCTGTTTGCTCAGCATTGTTTTCTTTCCCAAGATATGATGACCCTGCTGAGCTATAGAGAGGGGAAGGTCCAGATGGCACTGGATCATTTTTCTGTTGTACTTTCTGACTCAGCAGTACACCTCTACTTATGGAAATTGCTTTTGGAGTAATCTTCACCCTGGGATTGGTCTTAGTGATAATATCCAGGTCAGAATACTGACTCACTGTCATAATCCTCTTGCAGCCTTCCCTTGTTCTTCATTTTGTGGCTTTTGCTGGACAGATGCTGGACCAGATCAGATCATTAAGGCATTATGTGGTGCCTTTAAAAGTATCAGGGGCCATCTAACCCACACCGAAGGCCAACCTAGAGTTGAGGATCTTTAGATGTTCCAATAATTTCTCAGAAAAAAAAATCTACCATGATGAGGCTACTCAACCAGAAGAGAATGACAAAGAAAGTAATACAGAAAAAGCAGTTTAATTAGCTGCACTGCTATTTTGTTTCATGCTTGGTAGATAGGAGAAAGCAATTTTTCATCGAACAATTGAAATGGATGAATTTAAAGACATGAAGATAATCACTCTGGAAAATGGCATTCACAAAACTTACCAAATGAACAGTAGAGATGTGATATCTGTGTAATTACTATATTTATTGACTATTATTCATTCTTACATCATGATGGATTCTAAGCTTGAGTTAAATTCCATCATGATGCATGCCTCCCAGGGGGTTGATATTTGAAGAAGTTCAGCTGTTTGGTTGATCACTCTTTTGCTAAAATATTTTCTATTTCTGTTCCTGTTTTTCAGACCCATTATGAAAATGGAGAGTATATCATCAGGCAAGGTGCAAGGGGGGACACCTTCTTCATCATCAGCAAAGGAACAGTAAGTTAACACAGAAATACACATGCTCAATCTTTTGCTATAGGACTTCTTCCATCCTCATATTTATGAATTTATCATATGCATATTTATGAATTTATCTTCCAAAAATTGACATAGAAGTAAGGAAGAGTGAAACGTTGAAAACTAGGAAGCAGGCTGATACTAATAATCATGGTACTAGATGATGCTCTAAGTGTGCATGCACAAAAACTCTCCATCATTACAGCTATTTGTTAAAAAATACTGGGGGTGCTTTAAAAAATCAATTCAGTCTTTAACGGTAGTAATGTCACTCTAATGAGGCACCTGGTGTTAAAATTCATGTTAGCTAAATTTGAATTTGCTGTGAAACATTCGAGTCTCCTTTAGACAAACTTCTTAATATTCCAATATCAATATGTTCAGGTTGTATTAGGGCATTATAAAGAATATCAAGAGAATAATAAGAAGCTACTGAAAATGGCTGAGTATAAGAAGAGGGATTAAAATAGAGGAAACTGGTTTTTAATGAAAAATGATGTTTTCTTTCTTATATTATTTTAGTTTAAAAATATGAGTCTGCTATAGTTTTTTTTTCTTAAAAACTAAGAAAGTAAATTGGAAAAAAACATGTCTAGATCAATGCTCAAATACAATAGTATTGTAAATACTCCAAATTCTTTTACTTTTTCATTTGTTATTGTACTATTACTTTTATGTTTGTCTTGTTATTTGTAGAAAGTATTTCTACCCTATGTATTATGTGTTGAAAAAGAGAAATGCAGGTAGAGGTGATTATATATTTCTCTTTTTTTCTTTCTTTCTTCCTTCCTTTCTTTCTTCCTTCCTTCCTTTCTTTCTTTTCTTTCTTTTTTTTTTTGCTGGTTATGGAGCTTGAACTCTGGGCCTGGGCACTGTCCCTCAGCTCTTCAGCTCAAGGCTAGCACTCTACCACTTGAGCTACACCGCCACTTCTGGCTTTTTCTGCTTTTGTGGTGTTGAGGAATTGAACTCAGGTTCTCATGCATGCAAGGCAAGCACTCTAGCACTGAGCCACCTTCCCAGTCCCTATTTGATTTTCTTAAGAAGAGTTGATGCATCTAGAAATTAAGTAAATTTATTTTGCAATCTCATTAAATAAGTGATTGTGGCAACTTATAGTTTATATAGAATGATGTACAGTGCCACAGTAAACAGGACAAGTAAAAGATCACAAGTATTATTGGACTTAATCTTAGATTATTTTGTGAACTAATTTCAAATTGAGAATATGCATGTCAATGCTTAATCAATGACATGTTATACTATAATGATGAAAAATTGTAGTTTTATCCTGCTTATTGAAATGACATGTTTGAACACAGTTTGGGATAAAATTACATTCTGTATTTTGCAATGCTAGAAGCTAGGAAACTGTTTATATGTTGTGCTGTAGATCTAAGTTTTTATTGATTAACACTGACTAAAGAATCAGTGGAACTGAAAATCTTCATAGAGGTACACCGGTTGGTCAGAAGAAAAATTTAGATTTTGCTTTACAGCATTGCTGATTCTTTGCTATATGGTAATCGTGTGATTGCCCACTGAGATGACTCTGCAAAGGCTTTTGTGACCACTTTATTATTGCAAATTTCTAGCATAGTCTAATGGAATTAATAGTTACAAGAAACAGGTGCACCAGAGGTGCTTTTTGAGTTTTGCAATATATATGTATAGAAAGAGCATGGAAATGACACAGGAACTAGCCAATTGATAATACTTTAGAGCAATATATTGGAGTTCTAGGAAAGAAATAATAGAGATGTATTAGACTGTGTCTGAAAACACAGGGTGTGTGTGTGTGTGTGTGTGTGTGTGTGTGTGTGTGTGTGTGTGTGTGTGTGTGGAGAGAGAGAGAGAGAGAAAGAGAGAGAGAGAGATAGTCTAGCATAGATTTTCCCCTAGTTTCTCAGATCTCACATATTCCTTGCTATGATTCCTAATTATATTAGTTCATATATTATTATGTGAATTCTAATACTAATGCATCAAAATGACTACATAAACAGATGAGCATATTTCAACTCCAGTTGTATGGGATAGGAATGTTAAGCTTAAGTTAAAGATTAATTAGGTAAACTAAAGATTAAGTTTTAAGTTAAGGTCAGCAGACAGCAGTTGTGGAATTGGAATTTTCTAAAATTGCAGGTGTTAGATATACTAGTATAAACCTGTTTTATGTATTCATTTATTAAATTTATAAGGTGGATGAAAATAGTCTGATGAAATGCTGCCGTAGGAGTCACAAAATACAGCATGCAAAGTTACATGTAGATTTCCTTTTGTCCAGATCCATTTACTTAAGTGTAAAATAACTAGTATTTTCCCATTAAGCACTTCCACACAGAGAAACACTATGATGTAAACATTGAAATACTTGTTTTCCCCCACTAAGCCTGCACAAAGTGAACTCTTACAACTTTAAGAAAGGATGCGGTGACAGTGATATGTATAGTAGTTGTTGCTGTTGCTTTAAGTGGAAGCTGAGTTAGTTCTCTTGTGCCACTGAGCCTCACGCTCTGGCTCAGCTTTTTCAACATGTGGATTTGAGCCAGACCTCCACTTCCAGTTTTATTTGTTGATAAGGGTCTCTCAGTTTGTCTAGCCAGGCTGGTTTTAAACTATGACCCTCAGCTCTCAGACTGCTGAGTAGGTAGGATTACAGACATGAGCCACTCATGCCCGTTTAGTTCTGTCTTATTTTGTGAGACCATTCCATTTACCTGGAAACATGGCTTCCTCCTTCCACAATGAAGAGAAACACCAAAAAATTCTACAACTATCCCCAAAGTGATGTTGCATCAAAAAACATTTGTCTTCCTAAATAAATTGAATCAAAAATTGAACAAGGTTAGTAAAGAAAATTTCAGTAATCTGATAATCATTCCAATACAACTGACTTTTTCTTTGGTTCTATATGTCAGTGTACTTTGCATGTTCACATTAGAAGGAACTGTGATTAAATGTTTTTTGTCTGTTGCACACTATTTAAAATCATATGCGTTGCTCATTAGAATCAGTAAGTTTTTAAATATGGTCATTAATCATATTGGCCTAACACAATGTTAAGTGGTTCTGAATATGGCAAGTCTTCTGTTTTGGAAGTTTAGTTAGTATATGCCTACACATGCTAGGTAAAGATAACAATGAAACATGAGAAATAACCATTTTTAGGTAAAAAAATGATGTGTGCATATTATCACCATGGTGGTCATAGACATGCCAATTATTGTGAATCAACAAAAGGATTTATTATATAGAAATGAAAAAGTAAATAAGATATTTTAGTAACTTTTGTTTTTAATATAAGCAGATACGTTATTAAAATTTTAAAAAGTTTAGATAGATCACCATTGTCCAGTAATTTTTCCTTGCTAATAAAGTTGTTCTGTTATATATAGAAACTAATATAATGGTCATTAATCTCATTTGCTATATAAATTAAAATTAGGCTGGACACTGATGGCTCATACTTATAATCCTAACTACTCAGGATCAGATCTCAGCTTGGCAGGAAAGTTCCTAAGACTCTCATCTCCAATAAACCACTAGAAAACCAGAAGTGGCACTGTGGTTCAAGTGGTAGAGTGCTAGCCTTGAACTAAAGAGCACAGGAACAGTGCCCAGACCTAGAGTTCAAGCCCCACAACTGACAAAAAAATAGCTAATTTTAATTAAGACAAATATTAGATTTCTTATTGAAAGTAGTCAAATGAATGAAATTTTTACTATAATTTGATTACCAAAAAATGTTTCTTTTGTATGTTTTTCCTCCTATGGTATATCCCTGTTGTCACTGTATTTGATTTTGGTACCTTGCATCTTGTATATACATTTATCTAATTTGGGTGGGGGAAGGGGAATAACAAAATGCTGAAAAAAAGACACAGGGTGACCCATTGCAACAATGAGACTCACAAGACACTATTTTGGAAATGAACTTTACAACTTCAGAGGGGGAGTGGGGGTGATGGGGGAGGGAAGGGGAAAAAAAAACAAAGGAGAGGGAAACAGGGCTCCACAAGAAATGTACTCATTACTTTAGTCATGTAACTGTAAGCCCGCTGTACAGCATTTTTACAATAAAATATTTTCATAATTTATATTAGCAGTCTTGAAAGAGAAAAATCACATTATCATGTCAATACAATGAAAGCATTTGATAAATGCAGCATGCATGTATAATTGGCATTCTCAGATAGAATCTACAGTATACCTACAGTTAGCACATGCAACAAACTGCAAACAATAAATAACAGCAATGGTGTCAGAGGCATGGCTCAGGTGGTAGGGTGTCTGCCAGTGAGTAACAAGCATCAGATACCTAGTTCAAGTCCTAGTCTTGGACAAAAGAGAAGCAAAAACTATAAACCTTTAGCCAGTCACTGGTGTCTCAGGCCTGTAATCGTAGCTACTCAGAAAGCTGAGATCTGAGACTCATAGCTTGAAACCAGCCAGGACGGGAAAATCCAGGAGACACCACCAACTAACCACCAGAAAAAATGGAAGTGAGCTGTGCACTAGCCTTGAGTGAAAAATTCTGGGATAGCAACCAAGCCCTGAATTCAAGCCCCACAATATATTTTTTAATAAGCCAACAATGAAGGAAAATCTTACCAATAAATAGTGTTAGAACAAATGTTAAGCCATAGATAATGACCTAAACTTCCTATCTTCCATGAAAATTAAATAAAAACTAATAATATATTTAATGATAAGACATAAAACTATAAAATGTTTAGAAAAAATATCTTTATAATCTGAGGTTAAGTTAAATTCTCCTCCACGTTTCCTAAAACATATTCAAAAAAGCAAAAAATGGACATTAGACTTCACAAAATTCATAAAATCTTATCTGGGAAGATGGAGAGAATGAAATATAAACTACTAAGCAATATTTTTATGGTATTTATTATAGAGGAATAAAAATATAATTCACATACAAGCTGCATCAATGTTTGTAGCATTTCTACTCATAATTGCTAAAGGCTATAAATTTACCATCATAAAGATAGTAAGAAGATAATCCATACTCTAAGGAATCAACAATAACAAAAATAAAGATAATCCAATAGAAAAATAAAGCACAAGGATGATGAGACACATCACCATTAGGAAACATAGTCGCTCAACAATTAATATGGGAAAATGTTGCTCTACCATTAATATTCAAGGAATATCTTCTACTACCTATGTTCCTGGAAAAAAAAAGATCAAAATCACATATAGATAACTAACTAGATAGATAGAAGAAAGATAGATGAATATACATAGGTATCTATATCAAATGCAATAAGCATACAGGATAACACAAGCTTCCATTCATCAATGGTACAAATATACATTTGTGCCAAGAGACATCAGCATCCAGAAAACTGAAGATACGTATACTTAACAACCTCATCCTTTATTTACAAGTATTGACCCTTCTGATACCCAAACTTATCAGGAAACATGTACAAGGATATTCATAGGAAAAATAATAATGATCAAAAAAAGCAACATAAGACTCCCAGCAAAATAAGACTCTCCCTTGAAGTTTCTACATCTATAAAAGCCTCATCTACATGCAAATTAGTCTCTTCATAGAGACTATACGTTAGTGGTAACTAAGAATGTTACGAACTAAATTTCCATGGTTTGAGGTACTGTGTATGTGAGTAATCAAATGGATCAGTGGAGAATAATAATTGAATTCCTTGCACCTTGCATCTTCTCAATAATTATAAGAATTCTGGTTGTTGACTTCCAATTTCTCAGGTTCAGAAACCTGAAACATAGTGTTTTAAATGTGTTTAAGTGTCTGGCATTGTCTCAAGAAATTAGTTTTTTTACTTCATTACATTTTCCAGATAGGTGAATTTTAATTATTTAAATAATTAAATGGATGATACAGCAACAGTATTATGCATATTAGTAGAGCTTGAGGCAAAAGTGAATTAGCACAAAAGTACAACTTACTCTATTTGCTTTAATTCATGCAACAAGAATGCACCACCTCCTTCCTGTGGACAAGAACTCCTGTTACCACATTTCAAACCTACCTGTACTAAGATATCTTGTAGTTATGAAGGTGTTGGTTAAAAAATGCCAGTTTTTGAGTTTTTATTATAAATCATAGCGAATGCTGAGGAAATACCAGAAATCCTGTTGAATCCTGCTGAACATAAGGATAAGATATATAGTCAGAGAGTCTGCAGAAAAGTCGAAATGTTCTAGAATATGAAATAGGCCTTTGAGTAAATAATTCATCTGAGAAAAGAGAACAATATCCTAGAGAAACTAGGTTGTGCATGTGGAGATATAGAAAAGATATTTATGGCATGAGAAAAAAATGGACATAATATATATGTCAATTTATAAGGAAATGGATAAGTAAATACATTTATATAGTATAATACAGAGAGATTAGTATAAAATTAATGTACTAGATTTGTATCTAATCCAAATATATTAAAACAAAATGAGAAGAAAAACAAATTGAAAAGTAATAGGTACTACTTGTATTACTCATGTAGTTTTAAAACACATCTATATTAACACATAAAAGAGAAGAATGCTAGATTACTAACTAAATTCATGGTAGAGATTGCCCCATAGCAAGTAGTGAAAATAGGGGTGGAGTGAGGAATATGTAGCATTTAGATTTCATAACCATCCACTGTTTGTTTTTTCCTTTCTTTTCTTTTTTCCTGTTTTTCTTTTCTTTTACAAAAAATACAACTTGGAAAAATAAAAAATACTTAGAGCAAGTTATTGTGATTTTATTGGAATGATTCTTTGATACTTCTAGTGGCAATTTACTAAACATGCTATAAAAAGTAATAAATGGAATTAGTTTTATTGCTTGGTGTTTTCTTGCTCATTCTGGCATATGGTGGTTTTAGACTTTCATTGTTTCTTTTTGTAGGTTAATGTCACCCGAGAAGACTCCCCAAGCGAAGACCCCATCTTTCTTCGAACTTTAGGGAAAGGAGACTGGTTTGGAGAGAAAGCTTTGCAAGGGTAAGCAGTAGAACAGTAGAGCACAGGTCACAGAGTTGTTGTTTGTTTTTTGTTTGTTTGGGGGTTGTTTTGTGTGATAAAGACGGGGAGGAGAGTGAAATAACATCTCTCAATTATTGGTAAATATAGATGAGACTTTACACATCTTAGTGCATATGCATATACTATGCCACTTTGAATATGAAATAGCTAATAGATATTCATTTTTCATCTGATTCGTATCTGATCTAAGAATATGTGCAACAGTAATATAATTTACTTCTAAAATGCTAGGACAACCAATTTGGATTCTATTTCAAATTGTGCCTTCATTGAAAAATTACTTTATAAGCATTTTGCTTAAAATTACTGAGAAGAGATAGTTTAGGGAGGTTTTATTTTTAAAACCATTATCAAATGGCAAGTTTTATTTATTTTATTTTTTTAATTTCATTTCTTCAGAAATGGAACCAAGATATCTGACTAAGTCATCTCACTCAGGCCACATTACCTTATGAAAATTCAAAACCAAATACAATCTACTTTTTATTTTACTGAGTTTATTTGATCCTTATCTGATGAACATACATTTGCCTTTGCACCTTTCTTAAGTCAAAATTGGAAGGAACACCATGTTTGGGGTTGGTCCATGAAAGAATGAAATATAAATTATCTTTCTAGTATAAACTATATTTCTATAGAATGATTTATTCTGATTTTATTGGTCAAAGGATATGTGCCTCTGTAGAAAAGAAAATGATTTAAAATGTAGAACCAAAATAAAAAACAGCACATACTCATATCCACACACACACACACACACACACACACACACACACACACACACACACACACACACACACACACACAAGCAAAACTTATAATTGAGATTATATGTAGAATGCTATGTCTTTCTATTTTGGGTGTGAATACTGAGACATGAATTCATAGCTTTACATTTCTGCTTAGGCTGGCACTATATGAGTTGAGCTATACATCCAGCCTGGCTTTCTTTGTTGGTTATTGGAGACTTTGGACCATGATCCTCATATATCAGCCTCCAGAGTAGCTAAGGATTATAGGCCTAAGCCACTTAGAAAATAAGTCTTAATTGAAAATCAAAAGATTTTTCTTTTAAAGAGTTTGCGACTGAATTTTGGTGACAATTAAGAAGATTTTCATGGCAAAATGTCAAACCAACCAACCAACCAACCAACCAATCCCAAACCCTAACTTCCTAAAAAATAGTTTGTCTTTGATATCAACTTGAAAAGGATGGCATTCTGTTCAGCTGTGTGATTATTCTTGTTAATTGCCAGGTGCCAAGAATTTCTTTTGCATATTTTGCACAGGTTTTTTAAATGGCCATCTTCTGTGGATTACCAAATAACCAACCCAACTCCCTCTCTTCATTTATCACTGCTATTTTCCTCCTCAGGGTTTCTCAGCTCACCCATCTCTTTCTTTTGCACTTGACTCTCATGTGTTCACTACTAAGTTCAGCATCACCCATCTATTTTAGTACCTTCTTAAATGTCTCCAAAGATCGGTTACTTAAAGAATGATTTTTTTAATTTTTTCCAACTGACTTTATTTCTGAGCCACAGATTTTTATACTGCTCACCCCCTTTCTTCTTTGAAGTACATATCTTTGGGGACTCTTTAAATTAATAACACCTTTTTGGTTTTGTGCTGGTACTGAGCCTTGAACTCAGGGCTCAAAGTGCTCTCATTTAGCTTTGTACTCAAGCCTATCCTTATTTCTCTATCATCTGAACCACATCCTCATATCACAGCCTCCTGAGTAGGTGGGATTACAGTATGAGCAACCAGTGCTTGGCTAAACTAATAACACGGTTTACACTTTATTTCATTTCTAAAAATTCTCCAGGGCTTTGTTTTCATTTCTTGCTGTGACATTCAACTTAGTGAGGCCAGAAAGGAGTATGGGCTCTTTGAAAAAATATTCCACTATCATCTAATTTATCCCAGAATTTTGCAGTTCTCAGTTACTCAATTCAGCTTCTCCATCATTTGTTGATGGACACTTAGTTTGGTCCCCTGATCAAATAATGAATATTACTCCAATAAACATGGAATGTTCTTACTTATCCACCTTAGCAATCCCTGGAAGATTTCAGATATTTCAGGTAAATATTCAGAAATGGATTGTTGGCTCATACGGTAATTCTATTGTTAGTGTTATAAGGACACTCCATACTGATTTTCATAATGAATGTACTAATTTGCAATGGGCAAGGATTCCATTTTCTCTTCATACTTGCCAACACTCACTTTTGTCTTTTTCATAATTGCAATTGTAACAATGTAAGGTGGCATTTATCTCCCTAATGATAACTGATTTCATGTTCTGAGAAATGTCTATTTATGTCCATCACTTTAACATATTCTCTGGTTTTGTTTTGTTTCTATTTTAATATTTGCCCTATGTTTAAAGATTTACTCCATATTTAGTTGATGTTAGTATATGTTCTGAGGTAGGGTTGAATTTATTATTATTGTTGTTGTTGTTTTACATGTGAACTTACACTTTTCCCTAAATTGCTTATTTAAGTGAGCCTTTTTTTTCCTTGTGTTTTCTAGAATCCTTTGTCAAGATGAAAATAAACAAATGTGTATAGTTTCCTTTATGGGGCTCTATTCTGTTCAGTTGGTATCTGTTTAATTGATGTATATATATTGAATGCTGCATCATGAGGTTTTAATGTTATCACTTTGTAGTATAGCCAGAAATATTAAAGTGTGATACCTTCTATTTTATTCTTGATTGACTTGGATATATGTATGTTTTTTGGTTACGTATGTATTTTAGCATTTGTTTTTCTACTTTAGAAAAGGTGATACTGCAGTTTTGATAGGAATTAAGTTGAATGTGTAGTTTATTTGAAAGAGTAGGCATTTAAAATATTCTTCTAATCTATGAAAACATACACGACATATTTTGATTCATTTGTCTTGTTTATTTCATCAATGTCTTCTAGTTTTCAGTGTACAAAATCTTGTGCATCATTGGCGAAATTTATTCCTATTTACATTTTTATGTATCTATCATATCTGGGATTATTATCTGTATTTTATGTTCAGAAACTTCATTGTTAGCTGTAGAGAAATGTTAGTGGTTTTCCAAGGTTACCGAATTTGCTTATCAGTTTTAAGAGTCTGGCAGAATTTTAAAAGTTGTTGTGTGTATTAGAAAAATTCAGTTACATTCAACAAGATTTATTAGAGAGCTCTTCCCCTTTGAGGGAGGCTTTGGACCTGTTTCATTGGTTGATTTTAGAAATGGGATCAGATTTTTGTGTATGGCTAGACAAAGCTCAGAATGACATGGTATTTTTCTATAAAATGGTTTCTTTATTCCTGCTGCTTTAAATCTAGGGTCAGTTACAATGGAAATGGAGCTACTTACAAAAACAAGTTAGTCCCTCATTGTTATCTCCGACATGTCATTCAGACAAATAATTCCCTTCTGGTGCCACCAAGATAAGAAATAAAATAATGTAAATTTAAGAGTCTCTTTAAAAACAGACACTAAAGTGTTTCATTTGAAGCTAATTTCCTTGTTAATGAACTCAGCTAGTGTTTTGTGTCTATAATTGTTATTCCTTCCAAGTCTCAATGATTGCTTTTTCATTTTTCTCCTTTAGATAGCATAACAGAAAAAATGACTGGTTATTATTCATACTTTAGGCAGGCAACACAGATATTAGTTGGTTAGATTAACTGTTATTACACTAATCACTTGTGATGCCTGTAAAACTATTTTAAGTATTTTAAAATGCCTCTGAATATTCTTGTCAATATTGTACTAATATGACATTTCTCATTTGTTCTGATTAAGACTGTGTCCATATGAGGCCAGCATTTCCAGCTGAATTTAGTTTCAGGTAGTTCTCATTCTTCCCACATTGAAATGCAAGTGAGAAATGTTTCAGAAAAAAATACACAATTTAGTAATTTTCTCACTTCATAATTCAAGGATTTCAGAAAATTGCAAAATTCCTTTTAGGACATTTCAAGTAGTATGTAAGAGACTCGGGTGCACCAACTTCTCCTAGAGCCATCTTCAAAATGTTAATAGGGGCATTATTCAATCTTTAGGAATTTAGGATTCAATCAGGGAAAAACAACTAGAAATGAAAATAAAGGAATACATTTACAATAGCAGCAAAACAATGAAATACTAGAAGTAAATTTGACAAAAGATGATGAAAGTCTTGCCTAATACAAATTGCAAGATATTCTTACGAGAAAGTTGGAGATATAATATGTTTGCACATTATGAGATTTGGAATTATTCTCTTAGATTGATCTATATGTTCAGTGCAATATCAATTTAAATCTCAGCAAACTATTTTATAGAAATTGAAATAGTAATTCATATGGAAATGTAAAGGACCTAGAATAACAAAAACAATTTACCAAAGATATATGAACTTGGAAGACTAACAAACTGAATACTAATTTAAAACTACAATAAGCAAGGCAGCATGACTTTGATGTCAAGACAGATAGATTAACAGTTGGATGATAGATAGATAGATAGATAGAGTAAAGAATCCAGGAACTGATTAATGATATTAAGCATTTTTCTCATACTTTTTGACCATTTGTATATCTTTATGAGAGGAAAAATTAGGTATTTAGCTTACTTTATATTGGTTTATTTGCTATGAAGGTATTAGTTTTTTATGCCATCACATGTTCTCAATATTAGTCCCTTGTTAAATGTATAGTTTTTTCAAGGTTTCTCCAATTCTGTAGGTTATCCCTTAAATTTGTTAGTTTCTCTTACTGTCTAGAGCTTCCCTCAATCCCATTTGTCTAGTTTTGTGCTCTTAGTGTTTTGTGTTTTTATTGCTTCTTAGTGTGATATAATCCCATGTGTGTGTGTGTGTGTGTGTGTGTGTGTGTGTGTGTGTTCAGAACCATTTATTGAAGACTAATCTTGCTCTTTTTTTTTTCTGGTCATGGGACTTAAACTCGGGGCCTGGGCGCTG